TCATTCTTTGTGTACTTTCATCTGTAAATATGCTAACATTTTTTAAACACTGTATGTATTTAATTATTTGAACTAATGTGGTTTATATTCTTCTGTCCAAATCTTCATGTGTTTAATGTTGTCATTTATTATGCATATAGTTGCAGCAATATATACTCAAAAAATTTCAAAGGAGAAGAGAGGTAGCACAGTGACTAAATGTTTCCATACCTACCCCAGCTGTATGATTAGTCTTGCTAGATCTGTTGCATTCTGAGGCACAAGTTTTTGATGAACAAAATTACCTGATGTCACTGAGAAGCACATTTTCTTTATTGTCAACTCTCTGAAGATGTACTCATATTTCTACAGAGGCATTTTCAGTTGCAGGTTGTTGCTTTCTTCCACAGTGGCCCACATGCCATGTTAATAATGTTACCAGTTTCTCAACAATTTCTTTCCAATATCAGTCTTGTACACTTCATTGGTGTTTACATACTTGATGCCATGTTTCAGTCATTTTAAGGATGACCCACAATGAGAAACTTCACAGATACATTCATTACACTTTTGCAGTTACTTAACCGAACACTGGATGCGAAGATACCAACATCTGTGCCTGATGTCTCCCAAAATGATATCTTGGGCATGTACACTCCAAGAGATTCTGTCATCTTCTAAGCTACTTGTTACTAGGCCATACCATATGTCTTAAATTCCCTTTCCAAGAAGAAGGGCTGTAAGGATGAAGATACCTGCTTACATTATTCATATATGCATTATTTTTCCAGAAATGAAATTATTAGTTTGTGTCTGAGACATGAACTTACTACAGTTTTTTCATTTAGTTTGCATAAGTGTGATATATTTTTCTTCAAAAGCATATTGCCAAATAACGTAGACCTTGCAGAAGTAAAGACAGGAATGACTAATTGTAATGTTATGTTATGTTGTTTTATATTTTTATCCAGGTAATTTTTTTTTAATTTAACTGATGAGTGCAGTCATGTATAAAATCCTGCAGAATGGCTTATCAAACCTGAAAATTTTATAGATCCCCTACTTTTCTTAATCTTACAGGAAGTTCTTTCTATAATGTCTGTAAGCCTGTGGGAAAGTGTTGTGTTGCTTCTATGACATCAGTCATTAATTGCATGGTTAATGCACAAGTGTCTGTTTTAGTGAAATGAGATAACACTACATTTGTGTATAAGAAAATGGATAAGTGTTGCTGATATATACTAAATTCTGCAACTACAGTGTGAGGAATCTTGTGTGTTTCAGCCTCAAGTATTCAAGTAACACTGTGCATATCATTCAGGAGGAACCAGCCACACAGAACACACCAAGAACTTCTGTCAGCAATCACTTGTAGTCTTCTTCAATCTATAATGCAATATCAATATAGATTTTGATGACACTAATTCACTTTTAATTCATGATTGTTAAAATGTTTAAAATGTTATTAAAATATACATTCATTGATTATGTACATGTGCATAAACACAGAATGTTTATGTATTTTAATGACATTTTAAACATTTTAATGAACATTTTATTGAATTAGTGTCATCAAAATCTATATTGATATTGTTGCATTATAGACAGAAGAAGACTACAAGTGATACTTCAGTGCAGCAGGATACTGAAATATAATATTCTGTCAGCAAGTTGATGAGTGTGTGTGTGTGTGTGTGTGTGTGTGTGGAGTGACTAGATGTGAATTATATCTGTAGTTAATGAAGAAAGTTGTCTTCTGGGTTTAGGCACCGTGTATTCTTCGTTTTGGCCGACGTTTCGGAGGAACATAGCGCCTCCATTTTCAGAGCAGTTGAATAGCTGCGGAGAGCAGTAAGAGCAGTTGAATAGCTGCGGAGAGCAGTAGCTCTGCTCTCCGCAGCTATTCAACTGCTCTGAAGATGGAGGCGCTATGTTCCTCCGAAACGTCGGCCAAAACGAAGAATACACGGTGCCTAAACCCAGAAGACAACTTTCTTCATTGTCATCGCCGTGAAAACCTCAAAACTTATATATTTGTAGTTAGATCATAGTTTATGATATATTCAGCATCATGTGTGATGGAACTGGCAAGAAGCAAAGTGCTGTGTTAGTTTCTTGCTGGGTGCTTGCTTGGCTTACTCTTTGACCTGGAAGATGGAAGGAGTGCAGTCTTCAAACATTTTAGTAAACTTCTGCAAGGTTACAGTGTCACATCGCAGAAGGGAGTACTTTTCATAGTTACTGCTGGTAGAATGTCAAATATGTTGAGAAGAGAACCACATTCAGTTGAATAAGGACCAGTTCTTGTCATATTGTGAACACACAGAAGATACATTGTACTTATCTCAGCATTTCACAGTCCAGAACTAGTAAACTTAATATGAAAAAGGAGATAGAATTAAGAAAATGCTGATTTATCATTATTGCTACATACATATAGCAAAAGAGACAAAGACTGGCTGTATGCTATCTTTATATGGATTAACTAAATAATGTTATACATGCAAAAGAGTACTAAAATTATAATGATATATGTATTCAAGAGTTTGTTGATGGACTATGAAGATTCTATGACAGTGTGTTATTATGAAGAGGAGAAACAAGATAGTGACATCAGCCATTTACAGTAAGAACCTCGCTGCACAGTCCACTCATGAAAGATGAATTATTTAATTTAGACTAGGGTTTGAAGGATAACAAATTTTTTGTTTTCCTTCAACAGAAAAATAAATTATTTGAGTAGTATTATATATTCATAGCCTGGCAGACTCCAAAGGATAAATGTTATGTGTAATAAGTGTCTTGTTACTCTCTGTGTTGTGCCTTGTTTTTGTAATTTCCATAGTGGAAGTATTAAAGAAACAATGTGGATTGAATGCTTTTAGATCTTTGCATGTTATAAGTGTCAATTTTGTATCTCAGTTAACACCACAAAAATAAATTAGAACTTCAGTTAATATATAATGATATTTAAATACCACACCAGGAAAAGGGTGGCCAAAGTTCCCAACCTTCCAAGAGGAAGTGTTAATAATTAGATGAGTTTTGAAAAGTTCTATCTTCTGGGATATAACACTGTGTAGTCCATGAAAATCAACTGCCTTTTCTGAAGGACGTGTCATGTCCATCTTCAGAGCTTGCTCCTGCTTGATGCTGGTTTCTTGCTTGGCTTATTCTTGTACCCTGAAGATGGAGGTCCCTTGTTCTCCAAAATGTGGGTTAACTTTCCACAGACCACATGGCATTGTATCCCAGAAGATAGAATTCTGCACAATCACTGCTGTGAGAACCCCAGATTCTAATTTGCATCACTTTGTTCCATCTCTTCATCAAGTGCAAGTTGCAACATGTACACAGTATCACTGAAAACTCTATCTGTTATAGTAAAGGCCTGTATAGTTCTCCAATTGAATTTATGGCCCCAAAGAAGAATTGTGTCTTCTTAGACCCAGCACATCCTTAACACTTTTAAAACTTGCATTAGACACAGATTTGTTTTAGTTTCTTGTATATGTTGTGTGTGTGTGTGCGCGCGCGCGCGTGCCAGTGTGTGAAGTGACAGGAGGTTGGAGAAAACTGCATAATAAGAAGCCTCATAACTTGTACTCTTCGCCAAGTATAAATAGAATTATCAGTTCAAAGAAGATGAGATGGGCAAGGAATGTAGCTTGCATGGAGAAGAAGAGGAATGCATATAGGATTTTTGTCAGAAAGCCAGAAGGAAAGAGACCACTAGAAAGACCTAGATGTATGTGGGAGGATAATATTAAAATAGATCTTAGAGAAATAGGATGGGGTAGTGTGGACTGGATTAGGACAGGGACCAGTGGAGGGCTCTTCTGACCATCATAATGAACCTTCATGTTTCATAAAATATTGGGAAATTCTTGAGTGGCTGAGCGATTGATGGCTTGTCAAGAAGGACTCAGTCCCATTGAGTTATATACATAAGGAAGTATCATGATTGTGAAAAAAATGTTGAGATTTTGAGAGATTTACACATGTTTGGCCCCCCTGATTATGAAAAAGTTTATTTTTTATGATCTTTAAGAATGAATGCGCACCTTGCTAATGACCAGACAATTGGACAGATCTTATTCATATTTGGTAATTGAGAGTTTATCCATCATACATCAGTGCCCAGTGGCTGAACATTTCAGCTCCAAAAATAGGGGCCCTTCAGATGCGTCTCATAACGCAGAATGACTATTTTCTCAACAGCAGCTCTTATAGTTTTCATTGCATATCAATTTATGGGGACTATCTCCATAAATAAAATTGCATAGATGATATCTTCAGGAAAGTAACAGTATGTGCAATAGGGGCCCAAGTGTGAAATGTCATTTTTGTCAGATCTGGGATTTTTGGTTTGGGCTGATTTCATTGTTGGTTGGTATTCAGCGACCAACAGTAATCCACTGGGGAACTGTCAATTTCATCACCAAGGTAATGTAGTCAAGGTTGGTGGTATAAGACGAAGTATGTGCAGTGTGTCTGTGCACTGATTTGTTTTCTACATGTGAACATTTTGCTGTAACTAATTGCTTGAATATATGTGGCCCTTTTGCAGACTTGATGTAATTCCTTTCTTAGGTTTTCACATATTGCTGTGTTGTATGTTGCAGTTATATAGTGCGTTCAGCTGCTGAAGTGTGCTGTTACTGAAGACACTTTTATCAATGTAAATTCCTTATGTTATATAACTGAAATTGGCGCAATATCTACATACCATGTGACCAGCAGCATGGCTGTCTGGAACAGAGTACTGATGAACTTCTCAATTTCTTAATTTGATAGTAGAACTGTCACATGGCTTTTCATTTTGATATGCAGTAAATGTTCTTGAATTTTTAGCAGTGGGACACCAAGATGGTTTGGAGGGTATTCATTTCACAAAAAAATGTCCATGCCTTTGATTTATAATTAATATTTTAGAATTTAAGCATATTTAAACACTTCTTGCAGCACCAGATCAGAGTTGTAATAAATCTGTAAAGGATCTTTCACTGTCTGAATTGCAGTAGCCATTCCGGGGTGGTCATATAACACTAGTCGAGATCTTCGGCGATACGTCCTACCAGACAATGTCACTGCAATCATTCCACAGTTGGACCTTTGTAGTAGTCCAGAGCTCTTTCTTTTGGTGATTGTATGTTCAGCTGTGGCCAATTTCAAGGCAAGAGCAGCCATTAGAGAAACATGGGCTTCTGCCCCTTCTATGACCAATTCAAGCAGCTCCATCAAAGTGGCCTTCCTTCTGGGTGATCCAGATAATTCCACATTACAGGTTAGTCAAACTGTACTATAATGGGTAATTTTCTCTATTATTGTTAGGGTGATAAAATCAAGATGGTTGGGACAAGTAACATGCATGCAGGAAATATAAATTATACAGAATTTTGGCTAGGGAACCTCAGGGAAGAGTCCCTATGGAAGGCCTAGGCAAAGATTGGAGGATAATACCAGACTGGATCTTAAAGAGATAGGGTGTGAAAATTTGTGCTGACTTCTATCATAGGAGGTGTGATTCAAAATTTTAGTGTGTGATTTATTTTGTGTACTTGCTGCGTTTGGTGACTGTTTTATGCTGACACTTTGAAGTGTTTTCCTTGGAAACTGATGCAGTGTATCTAGTGCTTCTGCCATCATAAGCATCTGGAAGTCCCATGTTTTGAATTCTACAAGTTTAGTGTTTGGTTTTCCTTTCCTGAGCTTGTACTTTAGTTCTGGGAAAAGAAAAGGTTACATTGGGTAGTGCAGAGAGCTGGGAACAGAAGTCACATGGTTTCTGACCAGAACTTCTTACACAGACTAAGTAGGATTGGCAGGAGCATTCATTTGTTAGGATGTTTGCCACACTTCCTGTGGATACAATACTTCTGTATAAAAGTGCTGATTAAAGTTTGCCCCTGTGGAATAAAGCGATTCACAACTTCTTCATGATTTAAATGACCTGTTCACAGCAAAATTGCAGGAAATTGAAAGGGTCACACATTTTATTGAAAGGACACATTTAATATCCAGTTCTTATATTACAATAGGCAAAAGTGACAGACATAAGAAGTCATGTTCTGGGATTACTTTTATGAGTGATTGTATCCCTTGCTGATAGTCTGTTCCTCGGTTTGAAATATGTAAGATTTCATTTCTTTAGTATAACCTTTTAGATATGGGATTCATATGTTTGAGGAGAGGGGCACTCAAAAATTAAAAAAATGAAGGCTGTGATGGTTGGACATACTCAGACTGGGACAGAAGGAAAATATATAGGATTTTAGTTTGGTAGTTATTTTTCTGAAGGCACTTGAGAGACCTAAAAGGAGATAGGCTGTAGTATTGTGGTTGATCTTATATACAGGTTGTGTGGATGCCAGCTTATGTGAAATGGTACAGAATCAGGTTTCTTGGAAAACTGTGGTCAATTCATATGCCATATAGGTGCCTTAAGTCTAGGGGCATCTGGAGGTGTACCTGGTAGCCTTTGGTGTCCACATTATTACAGTTACTTACTCACTCACTCACTCACTTCCATCTATAAATGCAAAACAACTTTTTATTTTAAGTGTAACTTAAAATTATATTTAAAATAAAAAGTTGTTTGCATTTGCAGATGGAAATGATTGAGTGAGATATGTATGTACTGAAATATAATATTATTACAGTATAGCACTACTTAATTGTCTTACATTTGTCATGAAATTCAACTTCATTGACACATCTTTAGATTTATAACATTTAAAATGTTAACATTGTAAACAAATTTATGTGCAAATGAAAGTACTAAATTATCAACATAGAATTGTTGACATTTTCTTCCAGGTAGCATTCTAAGCAATAGTGTCGTTATGTGATTCTTTTGCATCTTGAGTCTCCTTTCCATTTTGAAGCCTATTGAAAAATTATTTTCCTAGCCCCTTCAGAGAAAATTCAAGTAGGTGAAATAATAAAAATTACAATTCCTTCTATAAACATAAAGGCATTCTTTTTTTCAGAGCATGTTGCACAGTACCAATACTCAGTTTTAGCCTCAAGGCCAAAACCTAAAATCCACTTCCATGTGTATAGTTTTTGACAAGTCTGCCAGTATATATCAGCCATTTACTTATAGTATGTGAACTGATTGAAAGAAAACAGCTCTGATTAGTCATAACAGAAATATTTTGCAATCTTATGTGGCTTTCTGCAGGAGCTGGTAGAAGAGGAGAGCCTTCAGTATTCAGATATTATCCAGGAAGGTTTTGTTGATAGCTATAACAATCTAACCCTGAAGTCAGTCATGATGCTCAAGTGGGTAACCACTAATTGTCACTCAGTATGGTACATAATGAAGACAGATGATGACATGTTTGTTAACATCAATAACCTTGTTAGTCTACTGAAAGTGCGCAACATGAGCAACCTTCTGGTTGGTGCTCTTATATGTGGAGCACGCCCCATTTCAGATACCCAGAATAAGTGGTGAGTTTCTGCTATCTTTATTATTCCGAATTGTTTACTCAGAGAAAAGAGACAGCTATAAAATATCTATACATCTTATTTTGTGCGTGTAAATGGTATGGAAGAGGGTAGACAAGACTTAGCAGTGGTCAGTAGTCTTCATAGTCACCTCTGTGATAACCTCAGATCGTACAAGACTTGGAAGAAGTTATTTTACAAATAGTCTGGTGATGGGGCACTATGCTACAAGCCAGAAGGTCGCAGGTTTAGGTCCTGATGAGGTCATTGGATTTCTTTTCAATTGACCTAATCCTTCTCGCTGCGCTATGGCCCTGGGGTCAACTCAGCCTCTAACATGAAATGAGTACCAGGAATATTCTTGAAATATTCTCAGAGGTAGAGGGCAGCCAGCGCATAGCGCTGACAACCTTGCCGCCATCTATGAGCCGACTGTCTAGAAAATGTGGGAACCTCAACATCTCACAACCCTATGGTCCTCCACGGCCTGTTACAGGGATACCTTTACTTTTTTTTAAATAGTCTGGTGATATGCAAATACTCTTAAGCACATGGATATTCTCATAACCAAAATACAGAACCAATTTATAATGTAAGTTTGGCCAGTAAATTGTTTCAGAGTGTACAAGTTTAATTTTCTCAGAAGCAACAATAATACATATACATTTATAGTAAAATTAAGACTCAGATGATACATAACATTTCAGAAATCATTTAATACAGTGAACTGCCAGTTATTGACAATGTAGTTTCTCCATAGTTATTGTGCATGTGTAGGTATGCTCCACACTACATGTACCAAGGGACATTATACCCCAATTACTTGTCTGGTACGGGGTACATCATGTCACGAGATGTGGTGTTACGGCTCTACCATGCTGCTCTGAAAACACCTCTGTTCCATTTAGAGGATGTATATCTGACAGGCCTGTGTGCCCATGCAGCTGGAATCCGACCAAGACACCATCCAGCCTTCACATATAATAAACGAAAGCTGGATGCTTGCTTGTACAAGGATAAAACAGTTATCACTAGCCATCGTGTTAATAGTTCTGAATTACGGAAGGTAAGTAGCCAAAGTAAAAGTTATGTAGTATTAAAAGATGTTGCCGTTGGCACTTGACATGTTCACGGCTTCTTAAAAATATGCATTACATTGATGCTGTTATCATAAAAGGCATATTTGAAATAGTCGTTACTGAGCTCGGGATTTGAAATTTTTATTATGGTGGAAACCGTGATTGTGAGTTATGATACTGTAGTTATGTACATGGTTACTGATGTTGCCATAACCCAGATGGTTATTACTATCAGAACTGTATAAAGGGAGATAAGGACCCATATGTTTGTATCATGGTTCATCGTCTAGTTATTAGTTTTTATTAGGCTTCATTTTATACTTGATATGGAAAGTGGGCTGCAGGCTGAACGGCTGAGGCTCGATCCCCAGCAAGGGCAAGGTATTTCTCTTCTTCATAGCAACCAGACCAGCTCTGACTCACCCAGCCTCCTGTCCATTTTGTACCAGGAACTTTCCCCAGGAGTAAATTGGCAAGGGCAGGAAGCTGACCACTCCTGTCTAGTGCTGAGGTCAAGAGTAGCAGAGCTATACCACCAGGCTATGGAGACATGTCTTCATTGTTTGGTGCTTATTTGAGCACAGGGATAACTTAACTTTACCTTCAGGAAAAGTGAGGCTTTTGGTGTCATGTCAAAGTTCCTGTTTTCCACAAGTAGTTTTTAGGAAATTGGCCAATTTTGGTGAAATTGAGACAACACACTAGCCATCCTTAACTTTGGCACTAGGCGGATGAAAATTACCAGTTGCGTGTTTCAGCCACATTGACCCCCAGGAAAAGAGCCCTCACATAATCTCTGTTGTCTTAGAGCAGGGCAGAGGTTTAATATAGAAAGATTTAATTCTGAGGAGCTAAGTGATGTGGAAGTTAAAGAATGATATAAATGTGCACCTTTGGGAAGCATTGATAGGGATTGGGAAATGTTAGAAAATACCAAAACTTCAGCCATAGAGATTTGAGTTAATTGTGCCTTATTTTTTCCCCCTTCGCACTACAGCCCAGTGGGCCTAGGCCTACCTCCATGAACTTCTCCATTCACTTCGGTTTTTCTAGATCTTGGACATACGGTAGGACTCCTTGGGCGGGTGATCAGGCCTCTACCTGTACACAAACACAGAAAAATGCACACACACAAACTAAACATCCATGCCCTGAATGGGATTCGAACCCACGATCCCAGTTTCCAAGCGAGTGAAGACAGTGCATGACCGGCATTGTGCCTTATAGCAGCATGAATTCTGGCTTGATGAAGCAGGTTAAAACTATGAAAAGAAGCATACCAAATTGCAGTAGTTGCACGCTCAAAAAATAAAAAAGGAGATGACCTGAACAGTGTAAGACATGAAACTAAAAGAACTCTCAAGAAGTATGTGAGAGACAAAATTAATGAAGTCGAGAGAAACAGCAAGAACATAAATATTTGTGACAGCAGTGGGATATATAATAAAGGTGGCCTAAGGTTGGCACCCATGTATATTGTCACATGTTGGGTGTATACGCGACAAATAACTTCACACCTTATTGGATATAGCGAATTTTATTTCACATTCACTCTTACAATCACACAGTTTACAATCTCAACATTACTGCTATCGGCAGTATCACAAATACTAGACTGCAAATGCTAGACTACAATTGACTGGTTGACTTCTTGCCTAACTCGTAACTCACTTGAGTAGTCTTCACTGCTCCTTATTTAGCCCCGTTCCGGACAACACAGAAAACAGCCACATAATAGGCACCACTGTTGTCTGGCCCCGTGTTGCTAGCAACACTGTCGGGAGTTGTTTATGGCTGCATAGCAACTGCGGCATCCCTTGGTTATGTCACCGCTGGTGGGGGGGAGGGGTGTCCTGCATAGCGCAACACGTCACACTATATATGTGCTTTGTCATTAGTTATATAGTGTCATCAGTTCCTGTGATGGCTCAAACAGTTGAAATTGTGTTTGTAGGAAAGTCTGAATTGATTTTACACATAAAGGTGCATCACATGTTAAATATGAGAAGTCCTGCGACTGTGTAGCATGGTGGAAGTGAACTGACATTGCAGAGGAACATGTTTTTTCTCCATCTTCAGGGTTGAAGAATAAGCCAGACAGGAAGCTAGCTTGAAGCAGGTAGCAAGCAGAACCAGAGTGGATGGAGGTGAAACCTTCCTCTGAAATGCTGGTTGGCTTTCAATGATCTACATGGCATTATATCCCAAATGATAGAACTTTTCATAACCAGTTCCATGAGAACCTCAAATCCCATGAAGTGGCAAGCCCTTGTGAGCATAGTCCTGAACTTTCTGATTTCATAAAAGGCAATGAATTTTAAGACTAGCACAGTGCCTGTTACATTTTAAAGGTCTCTGTTTCATGAGAACATTTTAGTTAGTACATGGAGCTGAACCTAAATTTCCTATTCAGAATAGTCTGAAACAAGATGTTTTATCACCATGCCTTTTCAACTTTGCTTTAGAATATGCCATTAGGAAGGTCCAGGAAAACCAGGTGGATTGAAATTAAATGGGACACATCAGCTGTTGGTTTGTGCCAATGATGTGAATCTACTGGGTGATAATATACGAGGGTTGGAACTTTAATAGTGCCAACTATTTATTTACAACTGATACAAAATAGATGCATGTTTCGAAGTTTGACTGTCCTTCAGTGTAGTCACCAGCATTGTGTACAACCCCTTGCCAGCAATGTGGAAGTTGTAGGATACCTTTAGCAGCGCCTGTTGTGTTGATAGTTCGAATGGAGCAGTCTACTGCCTGAAGAATCTCTGGAACAGTTCTGAAGCGAATGCCACAAAGTGGTTCCTTCATCTTAGGAATCAAGTCAAAGTCACAAGGGCTTAAGTCCAGGGAGTATGGTGGATGGTACAGCACTTCCCAGCCCCATTGATCGAACAAATCAGCCACAGCTTGTGCTGCATACACCCGAGCATTGTCCTGCAAAATGATGGGTGGGTTCTGCAAAAAGTGTCACCGCTTCTTTCTCAAAGCCGGTCGCAGGTTGTGTTCCAAAAATGAACAGTAATACTGCGTGTTGACAGTCTGATGTCTGGGAACGGTATGCGTTAGGATAACACCATCACAGTTGTACACGAGAATCATGATAACTTTCACATTGCTGGGGTTCTGACGAACTTTTGATTTTCGTGGTTACCCATAATGATACCATTTGTTCGATTGGCGTTTCATTTGTGACTCGTACGATTTGGCCCATGTCTCATCCAGCGTAATGATATGGGATAAGAAAGCCTCTCATTCACGCTCATAACACTCCAAGTGGTTATAAGCAGCATTGTATTGTAGTCATTTCTGTATTTCCGTTAAATCATGCAGAACCCATCACGATGCAGTTTTTCTCATGCCCAGGTGTTCCTTCAGAATGTGAAGCACAGTCATATGCGCTAATCCTGTCTCTCAGGACAGCTCACGAATCGTATGGCGTCGATCACTCTCCAGTAACGTGGAAAGAGCATACACTTCTTCTTCACTGACACTAGGATGACCTGGCCAACGCATGTCTACCACATTTTGGCGTCCCTCATTGAAAGCTTTTAGCCACTTTGCCGCTGTTCTGTAAGGCAATGCAGAATCCCCGCAAGCCTCTTGAAGACCTTGATGACACTGTCGTGCTGTACGGCCTCTGGCACATTCAATCTTTATCCAACTTCGTTGTTCCTGCTTCAAAAACATCGTGATAACACTACATTAGACCGCCAGCTAACACAAGGCTCTGTTCTTCTTGTCGGTGCGCATGCGCGTGATGTGGGAAGGGAGAGTCCATTTGCTCTGAGCTAAGGTAGGTATGTAACTTAACGTGTGGTATAAGGGACATTATTTAGTTCCATTGCATGGCGTCTCTACAGCAGTGTTGCCACTATTAAAGTTCCAACCCTCATAGATAACGTAAAGAAAAACACACAAACTTTAATTGACACAAGTAAGGAGGTTGGTCTAGAAGTAAACACAGAGAAAACTAAGCATATGTTGCTGTCTCGTCACCAAAATGCAGGGCAAAATCATTGCATAAAAATAGGAAACAGATGTTTTAAAAAAGTGGCACAGTTCAGATATTTGGGTACAGTGATAAGAAATCAAAACCTGATTGATGAGAAAATTAAGAGGAGATTGAACTCGGGTAATGCTTGCTACCATTCAGTCCAGAACCTTTTGTCTTCTCGTCTGCTGTCCAAAAACATAAAAATTAGAATATACAGAATTATACTTTTGCCTGTGGTTCTGTATGGGTGTGAAACTTGGCCTCTGACATTAAGGGAGGAACATAGACTGAGGGTGTTTGAGAACAGGGTGTTGAGGAGAATATTGGGACTGAGGAGCGATGAAATGACAGGAGGTTGGAGAAAACTGCATAATGAGGAGCTTCATAACTTGTACTCTTCTCCAACTATAATTAGAATGATCAAGTCAAGGAGGATGAGGTGGGCAGGGCATGTAGCACAGATGGGGGAGACAAGGAATGTATATAGGATATTGGTGGGAAAGCCAGAAGGAAAGGGACCACAGGGAAGACCAAGGCGTAGGTGGGTGAACAGTATTAAAATGGATCTTAGAAAGATAGGATGGGATGGTATGGATTGGATTGTTCTGGCTCAGGATAGGGTCTAGTGGAGGGCTCTTGTGAACATGGTAATGAACCTTTGGGTTCCATAAAATGCTGGGAAATTCTTTTTTATTAATGTGGTGTTTTATGCTTTGCTCTGCCCTATCTATTGATGTTTTCAGCCATAAGTGAAGTGTATAGTCTGTTATTTCTTTCAAGGTGTGGTCAGAAATGAACAGTCCACAGCTGGACTGCAGTGGATTCACAGCCACAACTGCCCTTGCTGCACAAAAGTCTGGTGCTAAGACTGGAAAGCAGCGTGTTATGAGTATCAAACGTTCCAGTAAATGCTTCTGAAGAACAGTTGCAAATGCTACTCTCACAATTGTAGAAAGTGTAAATATTTGCATAAAAATATTCTTTTGTAAGAGCTGTTATTTATGGTAGAATTAAACAATTGAAAATAAATTATCAGGATTTGAACCTGGACAGTATGAATGTTTGAGATGTTAATAGGGAGAAAGAATCCTGCCCCTAAACTCTTAATGCTCGAGTTTGTATGTTTGAGATATGTGAATATTTTTGTTAGTTTGAATTATTATATAATTCCTATATTTTTCCTTTATACTTTGTGATGACCCTAAAAGGCTTGTCAGTTTGTTATATGGCAGCTTTTTTTTAAATATGTGTGGTTTATGTATTACACAGTTGTACATTTTCATTTGTATGAAATACTGCAGAAAGATATTCTGTATTATATCACAGAAACAAAAATTTGCTACATAAGTGGTGTGTACAAAAAGTATGGAACCTTTGGTCGGCAGAAATACATTTATTGAACTGCAGAAAGATATTCTGTATTATATCACAGAAACAAAAATTTGCTACATAAGTGGTGTGTACAAAAAGTATGGAACCTTTGGTCGGCAGAAATACATTTATTGATTTGGAGGTACAAAACCCTAATCCCCTTCAAAGTAGTCTCCTTGGTAATGCACACACTTCTCCCAGCGCTTCCGCCATTGTTGGAAACACTTTTGGAATGGTGATCAGCTGGGCCATCGTATTCCGCATGATGTCTTCTCTTGACTCAAATTGGGTTCCTTTCAGCGGCATTTTCAGCTTGGGAAATAGCCAAAAGTCACACGGAGCCATGTCCGGGGGGAGTAGGGAGCCTGACGAAAGTCTGAATCAGATAGGCAGAATGGGCAGGTGTGTTATCATGATGGAGCTGCCAAGTTCTTGTTGCCCACAGATCCAGTCGTTTGCGCTGCACAGCATCACGAAGGCGATGAAGGACCTCCTGGTAGTATACCTTTGTGATGGTTTGGCCTTGTGGTGCGTACTCATGATGCACAACCCCACGGGAGTCGAAGAAAACGGCCAACATGACCTTAACATTGCTGCGGACCTGCCGTGCTTTTTTTTTTGCCTCGGGGATGTCGGATGTTTCCACTGTGACGACTGCATCTTGGTTTCCGGGTCGTACCCATAAACCCATGACTCATCGCCTGTGATCACGGTGTTCAGGAAGTTGGCGTTACTGTTTGCATTGTCCATCGTGTCGTGCGATTTCCAGACGGCTTTGCTTCTGCTCCAGCGTTAGCAGTTTCGGTACGAATTTCGCGGACACTCTCCTCATGCCCAAACCCTCGGTCAAAATTGAATGTACCAATCCAATGCTTACCCCTATCTCGTTCACAAGTTCTCGGACTGTGATACAACGGTCCTCCATGACCAAAGTCCGCACTTGCTCAATGACATTCTCATTTCGGCTTTTTGAGGGTCTACCTGAACGCGGTTCACTGTCCACTGATGTGCGGCCATCTTTGAAGTGGTTGTACCACTCCTTTATCCGTGAGTTGCTCATGGCATCGTCCCTGAAAGCCTGTTGAATCTTGCAAATGGTTTCCACTTGGGTATCGCCAAGCTTTTGGCAAAATTTGATGCAATATCACGGCTCATGTTGTTCCATCATTTTACACCTTACTGGAATCTGACGAGCGCTCACTACACATCCTCACTCATAGGCCGACTGCCAGCGACTGACACTTTCTGCGAGCAGGAAAAAATTCGTGACTGCGCATGAATGTCCCCTCCACATCTCCACCGAAGGGAATCTCCCGCACTTCATTGGTTTAGGTGAGAAAAAAGAAGGTTCAATACTTTTTGAACACACCACATATGCAGGAATTATCTGAATAAGATACATTTGCATTTAAAATAAGGCCCCTGATTTGTGCTTCTTGTTTCTTTTTCCATATGAAATGGTAATAAACACATTTCCATGGATGGACATCTGGAAGAATTGTCTCTTTTCCCTTTGTATTTGAATTCACATAATACTACTTACAGTATGACTGTGATCAGTAAAATTTGTTCTGAAATATATGGACTAAATAAGTTCATGTAAATTTTGACATATTTCCACCCATTATTTCTTGTGTATTGAGGCCATGAATGCAAGTGATTGTTTCAGTCTTAACAGAAATTTCATGTGAATAGGGAAACAGGTTCTTGGCAGTGCATTCATGAAGGAAATACTGATCAGTACTTTTTATAACAGAAAGGAACTTATACTGGGCCACTTATCAACAATGTATTAATTTGTATCTATTATATGTGCTCATGAATTCATAAATGAAATAACTATGTTAGTATTTCATGTGTCCACAGTTTAAATACTCACTCCCACTCATATAATTTTGATGCATTAGTGTATGGCTTAAAAATTAGTTTGTTTTTGTTAAAATTGCGCTTACCATACTATGTGATAGTCCTTGATAATTAATTTCACATCCAACCAATTGATATTCTTAGTTTTATTAATTTATATTATTAGTATGTTTACTGGTTTTATTTAATGAATTGCAATACCAGTGTCCTAGTAGTTAGTGGTGATAATGAATTGCATTGCAGGATATTCTGAGTTTTAGCAGGTTATTTACAAAATTACAGGAAACAGTCTTGAACCTTTATCATCTGGGAATAGGGGATTTTAAACCTCCCGGTACTGCAGAGCTGAAAGTATTGTTTTAAATCAGGTGATCATATTAATATTGAGAAAACCACCACTTGGCCAGCTGTAAGTCTTTAGTAGTGCAGACAAGTTTCATAGCTTTTGGATTTTAAAATAAGCTCAGATGCAGATGCAGCATGCATAATAATTCAATCTGAAAAAATTTGTAGTTCATTGAAAGTTATATTTATACTAACCAGGCAAGTTGGCTTGTACTTGGGAGATGTCACTTTGAAACTCAGCCATAACACAGACTATTCTGACAGAATTTTGCATGGTTTTTCTTAATCATTCTAGACAAATGCGAATATAGGACATTAAGTTAGACTTGGTCCACATTATTTCCAATTCATTATTCACCCATTCTATCATTTGACACTATGTAATTTGAGTTGATGACAGTGTCATTAAATAAACTACATAGAAATAAGTTTTCAAAATATTTTCTGCTCCAGAATATAAGTCTGGCCGTCGCTGAGGAGGTTTGGTAAAGATTTAATTTATTAAGACAGTTTCTTTATTAATACACAGATTGGTTTTAACATATGATATGTACCTGCATATAGGTCTCATCAGTTTATTTTGATAGGAAATTTAGCACTAATAATTCTTTGTCAAATTTGATGTTGCATTTTCATCAGTTTATAGTCACTGTGTTTCTCAAATCATACATTTTTCAACAACCGTAGTTCATGACCCTCATGGGTTGGACACATATATTTTCCAAAATTTTTATTTTAATATTTTTAGTAGCCCCAGTTGTAAGGGTGTGGTATCACTTGCAGGAACGTTTGTGAAACATGTGATCAGTATGAGATCTTTGTGCACTGTTTTTGTGTTATAAATAGCTGATTATCAGGAAGAAAATCAGAACAGAACAGCAAAGCTTAGTCAGCTGGGCATGTGGACTAAAAACCAAGGATCCAATATTTTGCATGAAGGTGTTACTTAAAATGACCCACAGTCCTACAATTTCTTTATGGACTGCAGAGCAAATAGCCAGAATACAGACTTACTGTCTAACTAACCAACCAACCAACCAAACAGATTTGAGTCTTTCTTGAGAAGCTAATAGTTGCTCTTATACACAAGGAATTCCGATGTTAACAAGAACATGCAACCAGTCTTTATTCTGAGCCAGATGAATTCATTCCAAATCATCACATCCTGTGATACTAATCATGCCCATATCTCCAACAAACACATAGTTTTGTTTGTTGTGCATTAATGTAACATTTTATTTGGTTAATATAATACTCTGCTGTGTGTTTTTGTTAAAGTCACTTGTTAAAACAAAATAATGTAAATATGTCTGGATGCCTTTGTAGAAAACCGCATTACAGTGCCAGTGGTTAGGTGTTGGGTTCTCACTGCGAAACCTCAGATTCAATCATGGGTGACTTTGTATGAGATTCGTTGTCGTCAGAGAAGGATTGGAACAGGCTTATGTCCAAGTTTCTTCGGTTTTCATATGCTAATCATCATTCTGCCATTGCATGGAACTAATATATCATTGCCCCCTGAAATGTGTGATAACCCTGACCAGGCAGCACATTATCACATCCTCAGTCTTCAAGTTTGGGGGATTTATGTCTGATGTAGCTCTTTGCTGGTTTCAGAGAAAGGACGTCTCTTTCCTTTCTGTATGACTTTACCATTTACCATTCGCTGTATGCCATTGGTATTGGTGAAAAGACATGTGATTAGACTTATATTTCCAATAGAACGGTTCGTGTCATATTTATTATATAATTTTTAATGTATTTTTCATTTAATGATTTAGTTTAATTACCTTATATGTTATGACATAGTTTTTAATGTGTAAATACCCCATATTTATTATGACATTTCCTTATGTAGGTTTAAAAATTTGTTAAATGGTTTGTTCTGCAGGTTGCAGTACTTTTGGTTGTGTTTTTTGTTAAAATTGCTGAAATAATCCACATCAATTTCTCTGTTTTTCTGATTTTGTTTATGGTCATATATGAGGGGCAGTCAGAAAGTTGCCGGCATGGTGGCATAGCACTCTAATGGTAGGACATACGGCAATGCTTACCTAATCACCTTCAAAGTAGGACCCTTGTGCACACACACACACTTGCTCCATCTATCCTGCCACTGTTGGAAGCAGCGGTGGAAGGCCCCTTTTGAAATCTTCCGGAGCTCAGCCGTTGCATTTAATTTGATGTCCTCCATGGTTGCGAAACGTGTCCCCTTGAGACCCATTTTCAGAATAGGGAACAGCCAAAAGTCACTCGGAGCGAGATCCGGAGATTACAGTGGTTGAGTGATGACAGGAATGTTTTTCTCGGCGAGGAATTGCTGTACAACAAGTGATGTGTGGCTCAGTGCGTTATCGTGATGCAGAAACCGCTGTCCCTGCCACTTGTTGCACTGCTTCCTTTGAACCACATCGCGCAACCTCTGCAAAACTTGCATGTAGAAATGGCCAGTAACAGTACCAAATTCTTGCTCCAACTCCACAATGGTCATTCTTTGATCACATTGAATCAGTTGTCGCACTTTTCCAATCATTTCTTCAGTTCTAGATGTCGAAGGTCTCCGGCTGTGCTGGTCATCCTCTAAAGTCTCCTGCCCATTAAACTGGGAAAACCAGTCGTAAACTGCGGATTTCTTTAGTGCAGTATCACCGTAAACTTGCTGCAGGGCCAATAGTGTCTCTGAAGCAGATTTTCCCAACTTGCACATGAACTTGATGTTCACATGCTGTTTGAACTGCGACATTGTGCCAAATGACCAACACTCACGTCTCATTCAAACGGAACAGTAACGACACTGCACACTGAAACCTGTCCAGACCTGTTGCGCCTGCAAGCAGACATGCTGAGCTTCCCACCACAACGGCGTGTGCACTATCTTCTCGCTCGTTCTCCGTCTGCAGGGTAATTCCAGGAACTTTTTGACTGCCCTACGTATATGTGCTCTGAAAATGGAGATATGTATTT